GCAGATGCTGACGACTGTATGTACTGAGTGCTCCACAGGAGGCAACGGCGGACCTTAAGTATGCGTGATGAGATGAGTCATCAATACCGTAACATAACATTATAGAGCTACGCTATGTTGCAATGAAAAGGGCAGGCGGCTCCTTGACCCGCACTCACGCTATTGACCAGTTATCGACACTTTCGCCCACACTAGCTAATTTACCGCAATGCTCACAACTCTCGCGACTCTTACAATATATTTGATAATTGTTCGTTACTGTGAAGGAAAAAAATAAATTCTAAAAAAATTGCAAAAGGCGCAAATACTTTTCCGACAACCTAATAAATTGCAGGTTGGCAAGAAAGTTCTGCAACAAAAAAAGTCATTTTGGGTCCATTGGTAGCCTCCAATTTAACCAAATATTGGAAACATATTCACCAAAGAGACTAGCAGTCTCCTTTTTTCCTCTGAGCAAGTTAGTTATGTCTTTTGTCCGGAAGTCAGGAACATGTGACTCAAAGATATCACTGACTGCTGTTTTCAGATCATATTGAGTCACTAATTGTTCCCACAATGGGATGCTTGAGAAGACGGAACAAATGGTAATCAAAAGGGGGCAACGTTACGGGAGTACGGCTGTTGAACATCCTGGAATCGAGCGAGGCCGGAGACTTTTGATGGACGTCTAAAGGGAAATTTCGACGCTCTACAATGTTGGTGCACGATTTGTTGTTAGCGAGTAATGGTTTTGGATATCTTTCTCGAAACGCGTTGACCAAATGCTCAGGTACGTATGGGGTAGGTGAGAGCAATTACTTTCTCGTCTGCGTTTGGGAACTCATAGTGCGAGTCCGTTAAATTGCCACAAAGCTATGAGACGATGCTTTTACTTCGAGGGCTTGGATCTCTTGCAGTGAAGTGGTTCAACCAATTGTTAACCGGTGAACAGTGCTTTCAGCAAATGGTCCAAGTAGAAGATGGTGGTACGAATCTGATGCTGTCCAATCATTGATGACAAAGTTATGGAATTCCCTATGGGTGCCCTTGTTTACTCATGTGTTGATTCCGGGGAATGCCTTAAAATTTATTGCCCTTGCTATCGAGTTCACATTGTCTTTACGAAATATTTAACGCGCCGAATTTTATGTCGCCTACTATTATAATTAGACATAGTAACACATAGGCAATTGAGGAATCACAGTAATATGACAGTAACATAGTCTGGCGTATGAAGCCGAGGTTAATGAGGTTGATGCGTCCGATTCGAACGACTGTTCCCGGCTTCGTCCCTCACCACTCCGGGCCTTCTACGATGATCTGGATTGCTTCAGAATCAATTGCGCTGTATGCCATGACTTATATCCACTCTAGGTTAAAAGGAAAGGCTTGGCATTCAGGATATACCATTCCCTACTAACATTTTTTGGAAGTGGGTGCTTTTAGAGTTCAACGACGTGCGTTGCTTTAACCGACAACCAACCGACCGACGGCGTTGCTGGTAACATGTTGACAACGCAGGACTGATCGCGTTCAGGGCCGCGTAGGCAGTATCGACCGACGTCCACCGCTGTCGGGTGGCCAGCAACGCCGTTGGTCGGTCGATTGTCGGCTGAAACAATGAACGTCGTTAAGCTCGAAAGCACTATGGAAAAAAAGGATTCTAGTCGGGGCCTAAATAGTCAAGCAATACAGCTTGTTATGCTGCAGGCAAGGCACCCTCAGAACAGGCCCCTCCATCTCTCTTTGGAGTTACCGTAACTCTGGGTCTTTTGTTTTTTTTTCATGTGAAATACCTGAATCGTGCTACCTATTCAAGCACTGTTGTGAGTAGACAGTGTAACTCCAGGCTCTGTAATAATGTAAAAATTTTCTCAAAGAAAACATGATTTCGGAAGTGGAGACAAGCACACTAAACAACACTTTGGTACTCATGTATTCCCCACTACTACCTATACTTTCTAAGCAGATTCGTTTCCGAGCATTTATCTGATTTCATGGCAAGTGGGTGATGTTTCATGATGTACCCTTGATGCTCTTCTTTCTACGAAGCTCGATAGCAATTGTTTTCTTTTTGGCTCAGAATCGTTTCTTGACTGGGTTGATTCAAGAGGCGTCTTACGGTCCTCCTCGCTTTGTCTCAGCTCTTACCATTAAACACCCTAGTTGATAGACATGCTGAAAATAGAGTTAGGGGTGCGATAGTAAAACGACACCATAAACCTGTTTTCACTATAATTACCAAAATGCTCCTGGTGTTATCGATGTTTCGATGTTACCGATCATCGAAAACCTTCCAAAAGCCGTGCAGTACGCTATTTTTGCCGTAATCCTGAAAAAGCTATTCTCAAGATTTCTTGACTAAATTTGATATTATAATATGCAGAAGATGATTTCGAGAGTTAAGAGATGACAACCATACAATACTTTGCATTTTACACTCGTAAAATCCGTACAACCCAGTTGATTTACAATCTTACTGTATTCCCTGGTGGTCGCGATTACGTACTATACCCATAAGACGTGGTGATTGCTCTGTCAATAAAAATGTTGCATGATTGTCGCTTATAGCCTACTATCCGCTTTCTTAACGATGTTTTTTGTTGTTTAAATGTATTCAGTATATCCGCCGAAGATGCGTTTTGAAGGTTCCGAAATGGGAAGTCGATCTCGTGGTACGTATGGATCGCAACAGTACCGTGGTGGTGGTGGTGATGATTTTTTCCCTCGCTACGATTCTAATAGGTCTGCTTAGGCTTTTTTAATTGATATGTGTGTTCAGCATTATTGAGGAATGGGTCGAATTTTTAGAGCTAGAGAATCCACTCGTACGACAAGGAATGCTCCTGCCGCTCCAGCGACATATAGAGGCCGAGTAGAATCTGTATGTATTTATTTTCAGTACCAAGTTGCATAGCATGGTGATTATCCATTACTTACTACTCTGTCACATGTTATATCTTATTCAGGAGTTCCGTTCAGCTCGTGGCTATGAAGCTGATAGAAAGAGAGACTATCCAAATGGCCGTGAAATGGATCGCACAAAAAGCATCAACGAGAAGTTCGTTTAGCTATCTTCTCTAGTCATGTTTCTTTTTTTCATAATTGTGTTCTTCACTGGATTTTATTGGAATGATTCAGGCGAAGCGCAGATACTCGGTATGAAGGAGGCAGAAGAGGCGATGCTAGAGATGTAAGTTTTCAAACAAAGCTTACTGTTTATTCTATAAATACTACAAGAATTGCTGGGGTTCTTGGCCAGAACTTTCTTGATCACTACTTTATCCGGCGCTCGATTGTATTGTTTTCTCTCTAGTATAACTTCATGATTTTTACGGTAATCCTAAAGTTTTGAAAAACTCAAATATCGCCTGCTTCCTATTTCCACAGTCTCGGCTTCATAAAAGTCATGCACCCATTTTGGCTCGATGTGGCCTAGCACCGTGCCCAAAGAACGCCGTAATCCTTCATGGCGGAATGTGATTGGGAAGCATCACGTTCATCTTTTTGTTCAACTGCAGGTTGAGCGAAGTATTCATTCGAGAAGTAACGGTAATGACAGAGGTGCTGAAGCTCGAATGTCGGACAGTAGTGGTAATCGGTACAAGTATCTAGATGAAGGATGGTGAGGTTGTTTTGTTTTTCCATTGTACATGTTTTTCCATAGCAGATCTTTTTGTAGGTACAACGCATATAAACCGCCTACGAGCATCAGCACTTACCCAGAAGCTAGTCATGACTACCGTACTTCTCGCAATGGATATGAAAGTCAACCACCTACGAGGGATACAAGAGATCGCTATCGCTACGGCAAAGGTGCAGAACCTGCTTATGGAACGGGAATAGATATGGGGCAGTACGGAATTGTGAACTCTGGTTTGTTTCCATCATTATCCTGCAATACTTCAACGCTGTTATCGCGTGCAGGTGAAGATTAGAATGAATCAGGTAGTTCGTGGTAGTCCTTATCAAATTGTTTGATTTGCCGACTTCTCACATAAAAACCTAACAGTAGCACTTACAAACGACAAATTTTCTGTTTGCGATTACAGCTTTTGAAATATACTCGCGAAAAGAAGCTTGTGTAGAAAAGCTTTCAAACAATAGCTCTTCAATGATTTTGCGAAAGCACAGAATTTTGTAGTATAAATTTGTGAAACTGTGAAAAGGATAAAATTGCGAGAAAGTGAGGTTCCCCGAAAAAAATTCGTTGAAATTGCTTCACTCCAGATCTCAGTCGAAAGCATATGCAATCGAAATTTTGGGGCTGGGAAATACTTCAAAAGTGGCAAATGATGCGACTTTCAAGCTTTCACTTAATTTTAATACTATTTTGTTTTTGGGGTCGTTTGGCAATACTAAAGTTGGGATAACCGTTTGTCTCCAACAATTTGTCTTTAACATGTTTCTCCGTACGTTGTGGTTATGTAAATTGTAACCTCTCATCCCATGTGAAGGGTTTTCGCCGTGAGAAACATCTGTGACCAAGTCAGCATTCACCGTACGTCATGTCCGATTGGTGTTATCCAAACGAGCATCTTCAGTCACCTTCGCCGCGGGCCCTGAACCATGCGCGCGGTGATGTCATGTTGGTCATGCCATCTTAAGACTAAAGATGCTTAGGGCGTTCTTCTTTCGTTTACCGACTAAGCTGGTCGACTATAATATTAGGAGGGCCTTCTCGGGCGACTACTCGGGTATGATTTATGGGTTGGGTTTGGGAGGTGGACAGACTCTGTCCTCGTCTGCGTTCTCGCACTGAGGCAGGGTCGGAGTCGCACCCCTGGAACTATTCTCGTCAGTAACCGATCTCGTGTTCCTCTCTGAGCATTTCATATGATAGATATAATCTGATAGTAAACTACTTGTGACGAAGGCAATTACGAAGATCGATTTTTACGGCAATTACGTTTCCCACGCCAAAAGAAGCCAAAGTCGGAGAAAAAGTCGCTGTTGCGATCGTGAGCCGTGAAGGTTGCCTTGCGTTGCACATAAACATCACCTTGCGCAGGTGCTTTCAATTGTTGTTCGATAAAGTACGGTTGCTTAATTGAGTGCAGAGCTTCTTAAAATTTTTGACTTTCTTCTTCAGAGCCCATATGTTCAATGTTCATTTTCCAAATTGCACAGGGAAATATTTGCTTGGAATTCCAAAATTTCGAATGCCGGGAGTTGCAACTTTTTTCGGCTTTTCTCTCGAGTTGATGTTGTATCTCATCAAATTTAAAATCTTTTTCCATCCCATAACTTCCAAATAAGACTGGATTCCATCACTTCGAGGAACCATTTGAATATTAACGGATGAGTCCGTTTTCCTCTAAAAAGATAGCTCAGCGGAACCGTTTTGAAATATACCTCTTGAGAACTTGGTCCATATTCAACAAATACCTGAACATCTCTTGAAGAATTTCTAATTTTGAAAAGCCTCCATCAAGAGCAGGGATTGTAACAGCATAAGCATAATCTAAAACTTCAATTCAGAAATAGTCATGGAAACTCGCCAACTAGAAGAAAGAGTGGCTGCTATCCAACGTGAGCTGGAAATGCTCGAGAAGGACAATGTGGTTAGTTGTCTAATTTCAGCGTCGAAAGTTATTCGTAGGTTGTGTCTAGAAGTCCTGTGCAATTGTACGTGTTATCTCTGCCAATTTCACTGCGTTGACCAACTTATCCACATTTGAGCAAACCACTGGCAAGGTTATATGACCACTCTCTTCACCTAAAACATCCCACATCGTAACGTGCAGGACTTTCGTTTCAAGACAGTACATCTCCACAGCCAGAGTGGTGAAAAAGTTGCGGAATGACCATGTCCCAGTGTAGATTTTCCTCGATCGTCAGGAATGTATTGGCCCTAGACACACACCATGTACGACTTGCCTTTTTCTGTCTAATGCCTGCTTTAGGGCAGTCGCAGTACGGATTATCGAAGCTCAAGAAATGCATATTCTGCTAATCCTTCTGGCAATTTACCGTCACTGTTAGATTTCGCTCCACCACCGGATGCAGTAGAGAAGGCTAGGATCGAACGAGAGGAAGTACATCTAAGAATGCGAGAAGAAGAACTCAGACGCCGTGAACAAGAGCTGATCATGGAGCAACAGCGAGCGATTCGTCAACGAGCGGCACCAACAACTCAGTACAGGCGCATTGCACCACCAAGTCGTCCGAAGAATGCCACATTTCCGAAATTACGAAGTTCAATCACACGACGTCCAGTCCTCACAAAGCGCATGAACAAGTCGTCGTCGCGGAGAAAGTTACCGGAGAGGCGAAGGGTCGAAAAGACTCGTGAGAAATCGAGGAAAGATGTGAAATTGCCGGCTAAACAGAAACGAACGGTGAAGCGAGAAGTCAAGGAAGAAAACACTAGCAAGAAGAAGGCCTCTGGAGCAGAAGGTTTATCACTTAACAACTCTTATTGTTTTATATACATTATGTGTTGTTTGTTTTATCTTACTTAGAAGATAATTGATCTTCATCTTGCGTTGTAGCAAAAATTTTTCCTTGTAGAGGTCGGGGAACAAATTTCAATCACTGAAAAGGATTTTCAGATCCGTCAAAAAAGTCCGGCCATGACCGTACTACGGAAGGGTTGATAGAGCAAATACTCGGAAAGTATAAACGCGAAGGCCTTTTGCCGAGGTACTCTAAAACGAAGTAGCTTCAGCTTAACAACAGATTTTTTTCAAAGTCTTGTTGTTCAGAACCCGTTATCTGAAAAAGCTGTTCGAGTTTTGCGATGTGAACTTGTTGGAAGACGAGCTTTGTAGGGAGGCAGCGGCTCTTATACCTAAAGTGCAGTTGCCCACTAAGGACGATTACAAGACACGTAGTAAGTTTGATCATGTAAATACTTACGTTCAGGTGAGCAGACGCAAATTTTCAAGCACTTATTCAGTCATGTACTTTAGCTTGCATCAGGACTTACAATCCAACAGTGTTTGGGCCTCTTGATCAATATGTTCCATTAGGACTTTTCGAGGAAGAGGTCAAGGTACACGATATTGCAAATGACACGGAATCGGACAAGGTGATTTCTAGTCGATAAGGCAGGAGATTTTCATTTAACCTAAATGTTTTTTCATCTATTTATCGATAAAATCGTATGAGAATGTTTCAGGATCGTTACTCGAGCAAGTACGTAGGAGGTCTAACCATGCGTCACTTTCAGATTCTAGCGGATCTTCGGAAAGCACTTGCTGGATTTCCTGAATCCTCAGCCGCTTGAATTTCGCGGTCACGTAACTCTGGTAACGGCAACTTCCGTCCAGCGTTGTCTGCTCTTGTTCATCATCTACTATCCGCGTTCCCAGAACTATTCTTGCCTGAGAGGACGTGGTTAAAGAATGGGGAAATCGTTAATCGTTATTGCATCAGGATATGTTCGTATTTAGTCACCACATCGTTCTTAAAAACCCATTCCAATACATTTCTTGTTCTTTAACCAGTAGTTTCTGTAGATATGCAAAGTCATTCCCCTCCATTTAGGCATCTTTTACCTCGTAGGATGTTTTCTATTTATAAGCAATCTGGTCTCCAGAATTCCTGACCTACAAGGTGCAGCTTCTAGATTCAACGGGGCAATGTGATTAGCAGGCCAGAAAACATCTCAACCGTACACCTCTGCTTTGTCAGTTTTCAATTTATTTCCTAACTTCTAATGCATTATTTTTTGTTATTATATCCTTCATGGAACTTTCATTTTAATCATTGTACAACAGAAATATTTCCACTTTTTCGTCTTTGTACGTGTCGTGTTTTTGCATGTTTCACTAATTTCAAGTATTTCTAACGTTGTCAGGCAATTAATTCAATAAAAAAGTTGTTATATAATTTTTCTTGTGCTTCAAATGGGTTTTCTCCTTGTTACTGGCAATTCACGATGTCGTGAAATACAAGTGTGAACGCAAAGTATCTTGCATTATTATGGCAAAAACCTCTTCCAGATTCCAGAGCTCATGCACAGTGGCGTCGTTTTCTAATCCTGCTGAATACGTGTCAAAAATGTCGGAAATATGGGAAGGTATGCTTTTGTGCCACTTCAGATAACACAAGGAGAGGAACTCAGTACGAAGGACGGTATGAGGATTAGAAAGTCCTCTCGAATTCTCAGTTGATTTTAAACATGACTTGAAATTTGTAGGACTACTTTCACCGCTGTGACGAAGAAATTTTCTAACTTCCATCTATTGCCTCTAAAGTAAAATTTTGAAGAATAGAGTCGAACAGAGCCGTAGTCCTTATAGAGTGCATAGTGCCGATCTACGTCTTCTAGTTCAGTGACAATTTTCGGAGCAAAAGTCATATAGAGCAACACAAATTGTATAAAAACAATCCCTAATGGAGTCGGGCAAGATTACTGCTCAGATTCCAAAAGATCTGCTGTTTGAACAGAACTTGAAACTTTAACAAATGGAGGATGTAGTCAAAATATAAATTGGATACAAAAAGGTAATGCCAGTGTGTTTGTTGATCTCTTAAAGTAGGCAAATCAAGTGCATTGCGCTTTGTTACATATTACAATTCGAAGTGTCATAGTATCGAAGTAAAAGCCATTTTCAGCATATACGGACTTTGCTGAGGAAAATAACTTCATTAACGATTTGCCAAATTCAAAACTCTGATATATAATAGGGGTGAAAAGACTTTGCGTCTAAACTGCTGGTTTTGTCTCCCTGAAGGTCGTCTCGATTAGTACGTGCGGAGGAATTCACCGTTGTGTCAGAGCCAACCATTACAACATCGTTGATTGCGATAACAACAAATAGGTTCTAGAAACTTCAACGACAAAAAATAGCAATGGGAATTTGTTATACTACTCTCCTTCATTTCTAAGGAATTGTATCTTACCTGAAGCCCATGTCAGCAGGGCGCTCTTGTGGCATAATTTGTTCAATGGATAGTCGTCCGAAGCGGTTTAGTAGCAAATGGCTCACTACCACGCACGCATGGTTACGTGTTCGGATCCTGTGTCGATTTTCGTCCAGCCAAACCAAGCCCTCTATCATCTTGGGGTCGGTTAATAGGTACCGGGATTGTTTGGGGAATAAAAGGACAGACTTGTACATCGGCTGGCCTCCGTGATTCAGTGTATAGGCCATGTACGCATTCAAGAGGGCCTACGATTCTAAATGAGAGTCGCCGGTTGTGCGCATCCCACAGACAGTCTTGATCAACGCTCCATGAATTATGTTTTAGACAATGGTTTATCAACCTGGTATGTGGAGTTAAGGGCATAGGGATTTGAATTAGTACGTATCTTCGTTCATATAAGCAATATGTTCTTTGTGAATAGCAAGCAAAGAGAGAGCTTTGCATGGCTCTTAAATTTCTTGTGTACAATTTTTGCATGATAGTGAATAATGAGAATTTTCATTTAAGCTCTGCGCAAACGAGCACGGTCCGCAGAAAACAGCATCGACGTCAAACTGGTATCACTGAACAAATTAAATTCCCACGCAGGTTTGTTACTCAGTGTTTCTATTCATTTTCCTATATCTGATATCCTGTTGTACGTACGAGCTATCTTTTTCAGCAGTTTACAGGGTACTTTTCTGTTTGAAATAGATTTATTCTGGTGCTTTTTACACGTTTTACGTGATGACAGCTTCAAGTGACTCGCTTTATGAGAAACTATTCAATTTGCGTGCATTCCGGAGTTTATGTTTTCAGGACGACTAGATAGTGATGAGAAGTCAATATCCGCTCGTCAAGCTCTGTTCAATACGCTGACTCAAGAGATAGAGGGATTGTTAGCGAAACTCACGCACGTCAATGATGAGGTTCATAGAATTTCTAGTATTCCTAGAAAAGATGAACTTAGAGAGCTCATAGTGTTGAAGAATCGCACACGGCATCATGCAGGTTCAATGCTGTGATAATGAGTTGGTGCATATCATGCGATTCCAACCTCCTACCATATGAGCGTTCAGTACGTGTTACTAGTCCAGAGTAAGTTTATGTGGATAGCAGTACCATACTAGCGATACCAAAGGTACACTCCTAGCTGTCGCGAAATGTGACTGTTTGCAACACTCCAACTGTAAAGTTTTCCTTATGTTTTGTCTTTGAATACTCCTTTTCACTTGATACCAGATTAAACTCGCTCGGATGCATGAACTCGATGAGAAATGGACAAAACTTCTATCCTTGGGAGGCTAAACTTATTCTCTCTCGAGTTTCTATTTTGCGGACCAAATTTGCAGCTGGACTTAGCATGAGTTTCCCGTGTTGACTAGAATGTTTAAATCCACAGCAGAAGCTATAATGTGCCTAACAAAGTTGTTCTATACCTAGGTTTAAAGGCGAACTAGCATGGAAACAGAGCTAAGAGCATGCATGCTTCTAGTCAAGTCCCAGATTTACTCTGTTCCCTGTTTAGATGAATGATGTTGTTGGAGCGCAGAGTTCAGCTGGATGGGCAATGAATCCAGCAGTTCAACATACCCTTCGAAGGCATCGCGAAATTTTGCGAGACTATGGTACGGAGTTTCGTAGAGCACGCGATAATGTGGAACAGCAGTTGCAGAGGTACGTGTGGAATTCTTGGTGCTCGTAAACGGAGGCGTACTACCATTTCTTGAACCATCGCACGCATGCACGGGTTCATTTCTTGAGTCACCAACCATCAACTTTATTTCAGAGAGTCTCTGCTCTCAGGGGGTGTTAGCGGAACCAGTCAGGATGGATCTTGTCTCAACAATCGCCTAAAAGGCTCGGACTTATACCTGAAAGAAAATGAACATATCAATAGCTGTGACCGCCTGATCGATGAGCAAATGAGGTAGGTGTTTGTCGCATCAATGGAGCCTTCTAGCATCTGAACGCATGTCTTTCAAAACCAGGTTTTACTATGTGTAAATGAACTTTTCGTTTGTCATATTTGGCTGGATTGCTAAGTGATTGATAGTGTATAGATTGCTGTTGTCATTTCTTTTTTCTTTCGATATCTTGTATGGTTTTAGATCGGTGTGCGATAATTCTCCCCAAACGGGAACAACCGAATATTTAATGACCATTATGTTGGGAACACATGCCAACATTCTTCGTATTTCAGCATAGCAATGGCTACTAAGGAGAATTTGCAGCGACAAAGTATGAGCCTGAGAGGGATTGGCAAAAGAATGGACACTCTGGCTAGTATGTTCAAGTTTTTGTTCAAATTCGTGCATTGATTGTGATTAGTTGGCTAAACTATCCTGTTAATGATGTAACTATGTATTCAGAGAAATACCCGATGATCAACAATGTTATGCAAAAGATTCAGTACAAGAAGCGAAAGGACGCTGTAATTATGGCAGCAGTGATAGCCTGCTGCTTAATATTTGTATTCTTCTATCTGAAAAGCTGAATGGAGCATTGCTCCTTCTCATTTATATGTCTTTGTAAAGGGTATTATCGAAAGTTGAAACCCATCTTTTTCTGTACTTTTTCATGAGAATGGAGGTATTTCGCTTCTTCAAAGAATTTGATTCATAGAGGCTTTGAAACGACACATCATTCCCTGTTTTTTTGAATGAAAAACGAACGAATTAGGGGTTTATCAAATAGTTAAAGGTTGTTTTAGTGACTTCTTGTCACCGTTACTCCATAAGTTCCTGGGAGCTTGATGTTGTGGTGTTCACCAAGCTCATATCTTATCGTTCTCATGCAAGTTGATGCCAATTCACCGTTGCCTTTTTCTTCACAGAGTTAGCTATTCCATAATTTATCGTCTTCAATTCTTCCATGATGTCGATTATCTCTGTAACTGTGCTTCATTTGGGTGATTATTTTTACCACCGTCGCTTTGAGAAAGGCGGTAATTTTTATTCCTTTTGAGTAAATCCTCATAAATTAGCTCAAATGAACCGTGGGTTTGTTTGTTATCGTGGTTGCTGATTAGGGTGGTTTTATGACATCATTTATAGCAATATCACTAACATAATCCGTTGTTTGTATTTCAGAAATATTCAGTGATGCATTATATCTTATGTGGTTTCGGTTCATCTATCGTCTGTGATACAGCCTGTATTATTGAGAAAGTCACTGCGTGATTTTCTTNTTCTTTTTTTTATGTGCAACATTTTCTCTTGGTACATAGTTCGCTTGAATTCGATGAATGTTCTGATGAGTGATTAGACCTTCAACGAAAAAGTGTTGCAATAAATTTATCTATCCGGTTGTTTGATTCGTGCTTAAAACACTTCTTTGAAGGTGTGTTGTTCTCTCACAGCAAGGGAGCAATTTATCTTTTCTTTTGCATGTTAAATGTAAAGAGATCAGCTGAAGAGTGCCTGAAATAGAGCGTTGTGATGACCGTTGACCATCAAATGATGTTCTCAGAAAATGCCACTGAATAGAGACCGAATTTGAAAGTGGGAGTATTCTTTTTTGGAAGTTGCCAACTCAGTTTCTTGAGATTTATTCTCTCAAAAGGCCAAAGAAACTTACCCGCACATGTTCACCCATTATAAGCTGAAAGCGAATTGTCAATGAATTGTCACCATGAATCTGATTAGAATTTGGACGCGAGGCGTAATTCCCTACCTGTAGGAAACATATTGACTTCAATCGATGCGGAGATCCCTTCCTGTCAGAAACATTAGCTTCAATCGATGCTGAAATGTGTTATCTCCGAAAATTAGCGGGAAATTCCTCGTCATCCTTCATCAATGCTATCGACCGACTTGTAGTAGGGACGTTCAATGTGTTTCAATAATCCTTTTGCTCTCAATCTCAGCTCAGCTCATTCTAGAAAGTGCGTCCTTCGACTTATGTTGCACTGCATACATTCATCTGTTACAGTGATCAGTGGTTAGATGCGCGATGAGCACATTCCATGATCGAGTTACTTTGGGGCTAGCAACTAAGTAAATGTATTATACTTAATGAGCTTTCAGAAAACATGACTTTTTTTTTACAACAAAAAATATTAATGAAATTGTATATTGACTATGAAATATTTGTGAGCGGAGGTGAATGTGGTGGTAGGCGCCGCGTGGTCCCCCCCAACCCACTTAGCACCAAAAGCACTGATTTGAACATCGGCTGGGCACCACGAATCTTTGTATAGGCTACATACGCATTCAATACACCACTACGACTCTGAATGGCGAATGCGGAAGAGAATCCCTCAGACAGGATTGATTGACACCGAAGAACTTTATCCTTTATTACTCGAAAACAGTTGGTCACTCTTAGAGTAAATGTTCGGAGTACTCAGACAAATAGAAAGTTACTTACAAGGGAAGGATCCCAAGTCGAAGTGGCCATTTGAAATGGGACCCATACTGCTAGGCGTATTTTTTGACGCTGATTTCAAATCTGCATTCAAAATCTGCCAAACGATTCTCTGAGCGAAGTTATGGAGGTGGTCTCCG